GACATAGTAGGCGATCCTATACGTACGTGTCTTCTCGTCGTGTCACCGTCGGCACTGAGGTAGTCCACATTCGTTGCAGCACCTCTATTGAATGATGATTCCTCAAGCATGATTAGTCGCACTGCCGACTGCCCTGATCGCACTGCGGCAGCAGCCCTACCAGGCCTGGGAGCCGGCATCGCTCCTTGCGCCACTAAAGTGGACTGGATCGCGAAGCCCGCAGCCAGCGCTGCCGCTAACGATCCCGTGACTCCCACCCACTGTATTTGAAGCTGGCCGGCGTATCTCCCCTCATCCTACCGGGCCCAGGACCGGAATCGCAAGCAGACATTGATGCGTTCCTGCGGCCGCTTGTGAGCGAGGTTTTCGTGGCAAGTCTTCGTGCTGTTTGTGCCGGACGAGTTGCTAATCCTTTGATTTGACAGCGTCTGATACGCGGACCTGATAGGGGCGGACGATGAGATGTTCTTCCGTCAGTAAGACGTGCGCGAGGTGGATAAAGAAGCAGGAAGGTTCACGATCCGTCCTGCGTGCTGTCGATCGTTCAGAGTCACAGCGACTGAAAGGAGAACAAATGTATCATGATAGGAGGTCTAGGATGTGAGCAGAAACTTGGGAGTCAATACAGGCTTGACGAACGTGGGTGGAATGGCATGTAGAGAAGTACTGTTTTTGGAGGCACGTCGGTGCGGCATGAGACTCAATCCGCGCATCTACGATACTGGGATAGATGGACCTACGATCAGGTATAGTATGCAAGAACCACCTTAAGAGTGCAACCCTAGGGTTCACTCCGTTCGCGCTATGTCACCACCCTGCACGGACAGAGGAGGGCTCGTCAGGCACGTCTTCAGAGCGCCGTTGACTCCCTTCTTGACGAAGAGGCGGATGGACCAATAGTCTGCCACCTAAACGCGATAAGGATTTCTGCACAGCCGGGCCATTCTTGGCTCTTACCACATGAGGAACTCGTACAACGTAAACTTCCTTCGCCCCTTCCAAAGTGGTCGTACAAGTAATCTCTGCGAGTAATCAAGCCCTCTTCGCAGACAGATAAAATGTAGCGCACATACTGTAGATAACTGGGTCGACTTCGTGGCCCAGTTCTCCGTCGCTGTCGATGACACACTGGAAGTCTACGAAGAGCGAACTGCAGCGGACATGACGACATCTCATGAGACCTTGAGACGCAGATGATGCGCGCATGCAGCGCCTTTGCGAGCCTGACGACTCGACATCCTGCATTGTGCCCTATATAACCTCCCCCCTTCCTAACAAGGATGTATTCTAGGGTACTATTACAGGCGAAGAGCTGGTATATGGGCACTCACTGAAGAAGTCAACCACCATAGCGACGAGCGTTCACGCTCTAGTAGCGCCGGCGCGTAGTGTTAAATCGAGATTATTGACTTCCGATCTAACTCGCACCACCTGCCCAAAGCACATGTTCTGCTCTCTGGATCTGAGCTCCAAGAAAGGCTCTCGTTCGAAAATGCCGCTCCCCTTTTCCAACTACTTTCAATTGACAGCGGCGGCGAGGTGCTGTAAATGTGGCTGCTTTACGAAGTCACGTGACAAGATCGTCAACATCTAGCCCGAGACCCGAGGGCCTTTCATTCCGATTCGACTAGCGCGTCTTCGTCCATGTCGACCTCCGTATGATACGAACTGTAAATCGCTCAGTACATTGAGCTTGCGGAGGTGCGCTGCCCCTCAGTATGACCCTTTTCTTCTCTCCCTGCCTTGATGTCTCGCTCACGGTTCGTCCCTCGATACAGCGACACACCGGGCCGGACGCGAAGCTCGGCCCTGTCGTGGCCGCGCAAAACATGGCCTATGTCCGCCTGTCCGCGTCGCCGCGCACTGCATACTGAAGGTCCTGCCGCGCGGCCGTAGCCACTTCGACCGCATGTTCAAGCCTCTCCCGCTCGTTACATGCAGCTTCGGCGGCGTGTTACGGGCGACGATCGTTTAGTGAAAAATATTGTTCAAACCTCCTGGTGAGCAAGCCCCGAGGCCGCAGGCTCGCGCCCATCTCTCTCCGACTACGAACGTATCCCTGAGAACAACAGATCCCAAAGCTCTGAACGGACAAAGCGAAATGGCAGCATCGTTCACGTAAGTGGTATCAAATACATATGTAGTAATGTGCTTGGGCTAAGGATGGTCGCAGTAAAGGGGCGCGCCGTTGTTGCGCTGCAGATACTGGTGGCGTTGGCCAGTGCGTGTCCGCCTTGCTTGTTCGACATTCAGGCCTGCGCGCTGCCGAGGTGAGTTGGTCATGATCGCCCTCCGCATTCATCATCGGCATTATGGACTGATGTTCAATCCGATTAGCAACCTTCTACAATACCATAATATTGTATCATGCAAACGCGCGCGTCCCTTCGTCCATCTAGTACCTGCAAGCCTGCCTAGCAGTCCTCCGGGTGCTAGCTAATGTTCTTGTACGCATGCCTTCCCGGCGCGTTCGCTGCCTGCTAATACCTCATTTGCTCCGTCCGGTGCATCATATCGCCGACGCGGGGGGATGGCTGCGGCTACCTGCGTCCAGATCGAACTGGATCTACGACAGAGGCTTGGGTTAGTAGGCATGCGTGGTATGCGGATGGGACGTATAGCGTCATCCTGACCCTGCTCCCTGCCTGTCCTCGCCCGGGCGCTTGGCGTGTTCGTGCTGTGCGGCGCCGGGCTTGCGAAAGATCTTGCCCGTCAGCTCATCTTTGTACGTATCCTTACAGCTTGTCGTCGGTCTTTGCATGTTAGCGTCTTGCATCAGCATTCGCGCGAGGTGTTATGCTCGCCGCCTAGTAAGTCCCGAGTGCTTCGCATAGGTGAACAACCGGGCCTCTACCGATGGCATCAAAGAAGTGGCAGCGGAGGGGGAGATAAGAAAGCTAAGGTGGGGGGATAGGCACTGGACACTGCCCGGTGATGCCTTCAAACGACTGAAGGTCGAAGAGACACGAGCGTCTAGCTGAGCGAGCAACATTGCCTTTTGGGGCCGCCGCCTACTTCCGCTTATATTTCGCCAATGCCGCCAGCTGCGTATAATATGTAGCATCCACCCATTTGCTCGTGCAGCGTCCTGTGTTGACGCGTAACGTGAGGCGTATCGCCGTCCAGCAGGTCCGCAGCAAAATCACTGTGCTCGGGCGGACGCGGGGATCGGCCTTGCAGGCTCGGAAAGTCCCGAGCTCAGCGTCGGTCTGTTGGCCTCAGCAAGCGCCGAAGACTCGAACTCCTGCCGGTACTGCTTCAGCAAACACCTCCTGACACCCAGGGCGCGTCGAACTACGAGGAAGTGGACATGGTAAGTTCACGATATTATCGAGCGCTGGGCGGCGGGTAAACTGTGCGTTCCCCGCTGTCTCGATAGTACGCGATGAAGACTCTGGGTCCCATCGCAGACCACGGTGTGTCTCTCTTCGTCCGAAGGGGCAGCTTGTCGACCCGCCCTCCTATCCTATAATCACAGAGCCCCCCTCTCCGCAATGGCGACGGAAGGGAGTCGCCGAAAGCAGCGGACCCTCCTCCGCTGACTGTCACGCAGCATAACACTGGTACGGGCCATCTTCTCGAATGCGATACCACTCATTGAGGCAATATAGCCAGGATCACTTGGCGAGACGCCGTAGCAGCCGCTTGGACATTGGACAAGAAATACCTCATTACCTCGCCCAACGTCGACTATGTGCCGTTGCCCGTGTTGGGTCGGATCGAGGTGTTCGTGAGGTCGGACGGACGATACGGGATTGAAGATCCATTCCAGCATCCTCAGCTCTTCGCATCAAGCTGGCCGCATATGGTCATGATACTCCGCCGGCCAGAAGATCCCAGCGATCCCCGCCAAGTCATATGGTGGACTCCGAGTGCGGATGACTTTTCGCGCTTCGACAACTGCGTCGTCTTCGGTCTCGGGAAGCTACTCAAGGAGCGTCTCATGCCACTGGCTTCCTTAGTGGCCTCCTGCAGCGAACGCACTTCCCGCTACTGCTTGGAGCACAGGCCCCCGCGATGCAGGATTCACTATCTCGAGAGTTCGATGCGTCTAGCTATGGGCCGCCTACTCGACATACCCGCCACCTTTCGCGACACTGTCATCCAAGTAGCAAGCCTGCAACGGTTTTGGCTCGAATGCATGGCATGGCTGGACTGGATGGAGTGTTGTCAAGATGCAGCGGTCGTGGCCGACATGAAGAGACCGTGCGCTGTCAAATCCGGAGTCATCGGTGCATTCACGAATGATCCCTCCGCTATACAGCGACTCAGCGCAACGGGGATTCCTGTCTGGTTTCTTCGCTTTCCCGAGCAGATCGTTGGGCAGCACGCGCTTGTCGTTCGCAAAGTGGTGCCCATAGAACCAGCGAGCTCTGTCGTGACAAGCGGTGATCTCATCGGAAAACGCGTCTACGTTGGTCTCGTCGGAGAGTCCCACATAGCGTCGCTGGCGCGTACTCAGCACATCTACAATGATTTCGAGGTGACACCGATGCCAGATGTGGAGCAAGTAACAATGCCAGCGTACCCAGATAGCAGCACACGTTACAAGCCTTGTGCGTCCGGATGCCATGTGCAGTTAGTAATTGCTGACAGTTAGCGTTCAGATCCTGCTATCTCTCCGAGGCAAACTCACGCAGGCCGAGTGGCTCTTGGACATCAGGAAAAACTGCCCGGGTGTCCAAGCACTTGTAGATCCCATGAGACCAGTTGTAGAGCGGACAGACCAGCTCTCGAGCAGACATAGGCGCCCAGTACTCTACAAGACAAGTCCCTCGGTCTCAAGTGCATTGGATTTCATTTTTCATGTCTCAGAGAGCTTATCAATTTATTGAATCACTTTGAGAGCTGGCTCAACCAAACAATCTTCGTAGCTTCCACACGCTCTCAGCCAGGTTGGGCTTACTATAGAATCACTTTGTTGTGTTCCTCGACCCCGCATTCCGAATCCAGCTCAGTATTCGCTGTCGACACATCTTCTTTGCAAGTTGTAGGGCACATCAATTATCCTCTTGATAATCGTAATACATGCACAGCACGAACAAGCACCTACACCCACTGATACAACACCTAGATACTACAACATAGATGGTATAGAGACGAGACGCCAACGAGGCTAACGCAGCAACCTACGGTCAGATCGGTAACACGGTATCCTATCGTACAGGACAGATCCACGAACTAGGCATAGTGTCAGTCTCACATAAGAGTGATATTGTGTGGCTCCGACTACTTACCGCGTGTCCCGACGACGACGTCTTACTTGGTCTTGGAGCTGCTCGCGACTGGAGCGAGGGGGTACAATACATGCCCTGCCTGTGCCTGTGCCTGTGCACCCGAGACAGCGGACGTCGATGCCTTCTTCTTGCCCCATCGGCCGAGAACTGCCTTCATGTCAATGCCATCATCGAGCTCCTCGGCGTTGCCCTCGTCCCTCCGGTTCTTGTCGTGGGCAATGCCAGCAAAGGCCCTGGGTCACTTGTTAGCAAATTTGTTCGATGTAATGGGGATGACTTACATGATGTTGGCGGCCATAGTGTCGTTCATTGATTTCACGAGCTCGGCAACACCTTCGTCGTACATCCTGCTGTTCGCATCCGCATGTCGTCGCAGCTTGTCTATGCCAGCTTTCAGGCGATCATGCCTGCCAGAACCAAGGTGATTAGCAGCTGAAGGCGGAACACTAAATAACTCACTCCATAGCATACGTCTTTTCATCGAAGTTCACGGTAGAATTGCCGGCCAATGCTTCATCGAATGCGACTAGAACCTGTCAATGTGTCGAATTATCCGATATCCATGCAGAAACTCAGGTACTCACTGCGCTACAGGTCAGAGCGATCATATTGCTCGACGGCGGCTTGACGTTGATGTCAAAGCGAGATCGGTTCTCGCGGCGGAGGGCTTCCGGGTGCTGCCCGAGCCACCACTGCCGCGCCATGATCTCCGCGATCACGACACTGTGGAAAGGTGTGTCAAGCTCCGGGTCGTCCCACAGCTTACTCATAGCAGTTAGCAGAATATGTCAAGCACTACAAGGCATGAATCTTACCTCGGGGGAAACGTCCGGGTCCGGCATCACTATGTTCCCGTAATGGAACGTATTGTGGTTGCAAAGGTATTTAATCCGCGCTTCCTTTGCCTTCTGCAACTTGTCATTGCGAGCAACCGCGTCGAGGCCAACATCGGAGATCTTGACTGATAAAAGTTCCTTCTCTACCACCCGTTTGGCTTTCTGCTTCAGCTCCTGCCGGACCTGTGCGG